AAAATTCAAATGATGAGTAAAAGAAAAATAATTGACAAACAAAAATTAATATTAACATTATTTTGATATGAATACATTTTCGCAACCTTCTTTCTTTGACTCTCTCTTTCTTTATGTTCCTTGTTTACAATTCTTTTCACCAAATTCAAATCTAAATCTGTGTTTATTTGTGAATTAATAACCCTATAAGCAAAATTCGAAATTATTAAATATGAATATACAAAAAAAAAGAAAAATCAAACAATATATTATGTATGAATGCTTATGTGGATTACTACAAATTACAATCTTCTAAATCTCAAATATGAAAATAAAATCATAAAAATAGTGTTTCAAATACTAAAATTCTGAAATGCATAAATATTTGATGAGTATGTTAACAAACTCATATAAAAATTGAAAAAATGATGAAAAATCTGTAATACATACAAAATTCAACATAATTTTTTATTTCAAAAATAACATCTCATGAAATCTCGCAAAATAAATGATGATTTCAAAAATACCTTTATGTATTGAGTGATTTTTTGAGTCAATCGGTAGATCTAAACAAATTGATATGAACTTGGATAATTAATTCTTCTTCAACAATGAGAGGGAATAATGGTGAAAATAGTAAAAGAGAAATTTTTTTTGAAAATCTTAAAGATGGAAATAAATTAAATGGTATTAAAGTCTTGAAGAAATCTAAATGGGTAGTGAATATATTTAATGTTGCACTGTTTTAAGAAATAAAAGAAAAGACAAATAATAGTATTTGGATACAAATTATTTTTAAAATATTGATATTTTGACATTTTGAATAAATATTTTAAAGTGTAGATAATTTTATTAATTAAGTTAGAAATTGTGACTTGTTTACTAATTTTTCGTTCAAGGAATAAGGAAATTGACAAGTGGGCTCGAAATACGGCCCAAATTCTTGGTCTTAAAATGGGTTGAAGACAGAAATTACATTTGGCTTCAATTACAATAGAAATTAATTACACAAATTAAAGAGGTAACCACAATGAATTAATTTCAGAAGATTCAGCTAGAATTTAAATCGGAAGAATTGATATAATTAATTTATGAACTTCTTTAGGGTGTGTTTGGTACGAAGGAAAATTTTTTCCTGAAAAATAAGTAGATTTTTTACTTATTTTCTCATGTTTGGTTGGTGAGTAGAAAATATTTTCCAGAAATGATTTTTAATGTTTGATTTATGAATGAAAAATGTTTTTGAGAAATATATTTTATTTTTACTGAAATAAAAAATAATTTTTGAAATTGAAAATACTTTTTTAAAAATAATTTTTTTTTTGGGTGAGGGGGGTGAGGGAAGGAGATAGGGGTGAAAAAAATAAAATTTAAAGTTGAAATATTTTTTAAAATAAAATACTTTTTTTGGGTGGGGCTGGTAGGGGACTGGGGGGGGGGGGGTAGGGGAGAAAAAATAAAAAATTGAAGTTGAAAATATAAACTGAAAACGAGTTTAATTTTTTTGGATGGGGCGGGGTGCTGATCGTTGTCGTGGGGAGGGAGACATAAGAATATAAAAAATTGAAATTACAAATATTTTTTTGAAATTGATTTTTTTTCAAAAAAAAAATGTAATTTGAAATTGGGTGAGGAGTTTTAGAAAATATTTTCCTAAACTTTAGAAGGGAAGTCATTTTCCTTAATTTTGAGGAAAATAAATTGATTTGGAAAACATTTTTCACAACTTTTATTCCAACCAAACATGAGAAAATTGGAAAATATTTTCCGGAAGATGTTTTCCTTCATACGAAACACACTCTTAATCTTAATGAAATAGTTAACTTACTTATAAACTAATTTATTCAGTAAAACCAAATCCTTCGAGACAAACCTTCAGATATTCTTAGAGTATACTAATTATATGTAAAATATATTTATTACTTAAAAATAAAATTACTTAAAAATAACTTGAAAGTAACTATATTTTAAAATAAAATTAATTATTTTAAATCGTTTGAAATTAAAGAAACTCAAAAATTAATATATACTGTGGAGGTTCAAAATTGAATGTCAACGACACTATGTTCTTCTTTCTACAATAACTTCTCTCTTTCATTACTTCATAACATATAAATTATCACCAAATAAATTAGGAAGAGTGTTTGTTTCCTCAGATCGGTAGATTTTCTATAAACCTTTTCAGTGGACTAAAATCTATTATATGTAATGAGGAAAAAAATGAACATTCAAGGAAAATATAGTTTTTGTAGTTAAGAGAGTTTTGACGAAATTTTCTCATCCATATTGACATGAAGAATAAATGTAATGATGGCTTCTTATCATTTAAACAAGCCTTTGGCGCATGGTTAGTTAATTAACAATTTATCTCATTTGAGGTGTAGACCACTATAATCCTTTATATATTAAGCTTTGAACTGATGTAACTTTGTTAGTTAAATTGTGGTCTAAAACAATCTTTAGATATTTGTGTGGTTATAAATCATTTTATAAAAAGAAATTTTAAAGTTAAATTCTTACTAAATATAGAAATTTGTCATTTTTTTTGAACTGAAAAGAATGTGAGTCATATTAAGCAATTTAAACAATATCCTATCACTATCCAATGGATGAGTTTCTACAACTTCTAAATCAGCATTCCAACACAATTTAGCCCTCGTACTTACATATAAACACAGGGCTTGTGCTATACAATAGAAACCACCAAACCCAAAATGTATAAATGCGTCTCTTGCTTACTCATTGTCTCAACCAATTCTCAATATATTTCTCAAATTGCATTTTCCTTTCTCTATACACTTTGAGCGTTTGTTTGAAACTTTCTTCCTTGAAACAATGCTGCTTTTGTCCACTGGTTTCTCTTCTTTCTTCACATTATTTAATTTTATCATATAGTTTTATAATATTAGCTCTACGTCAAAACTTAGCTCAATGGGAGAAGATTGTCCAATTTATGTTAAGAGTCTTAGTCCTCTCGTTCATTCAATCACCTCCAATGTGAGAGTACTCTTTTTTTCATAACCTTCCACATGCAAACCCAAACACGATCCGACACTAAAGCGTGAACAGTTTATTCGAAAGTCCGATATTATATTTTTTGATTCTAATATTACGATATATCAGTTTTGGACTTAACACAACCCAAATATTAGCTAAAAGCACTATAACAAAAGAGACATTACCAAACACGATGGAAGCATGAACAATTTATTCGGAAGCCCAATATTATATGTCTTGATTCTAATATCATGATATATGAAATTTGGACTTAACACAACACCGGATATCATATGTTTTTATTCTAATATCATGATATGTGAATTTTGGACTTAATTAAGACAACCTAAAATTAGCTCAAAGCACTATAACAAAAGAGACATTACTCAAATACGATCCGATACTGAAGCATGAACACCTGATATCATATGTTTCATTCTAATATCATGGTATATAAATTTTGGACTTAAAACAACCCAAAATTAGCTCAAAGCACTATAACAAAAGAGACATTATCCAAACATGAACCAATACTGTAGCATGAACAATTTATTCGAAAGCCCGATATCATATGCCTTAGATTCTATTATCATGACCAGTGCCGAAGTCACATACAATTCATCGGAAAATTATACTGCATAGCTAGATAAAAATATATTTTATGTATACATTTAACTTCTTTATATACCGGCACTCCTTAATTGAAATTCTGGCTCCACCATTGATCACAATATATGAATTTTGGACTTAACACAACCCAAAATTAACTCAATGCACTACACAACAAGGAGAAATTTAGTCACTTACATTTTTGCGACATTTATATAAAGTATTGATTAAACTATACAGTTATATTAACTATCCTACTTATCTCATCCACAACCGATGTAGGAGTCTTCTTTCATCATTTATAACATGTGTTATGGACAAAAATTGTGCCACCGTTTGCCAGACTGAAGGCTTAATCGGCGGCAACTGTTGTGGCTTCCATCGCTGTTGCTTTTGCACCAGAAACTGTTAGAACATATAATGTTTCTAAATGAAATACTCATCATCCATGATAAGTAATGATGTTATATCAATAAAAAGAGACTAGATAGTTCGTATTTACTACTCCATCCATGATAATTTTTGCTCACATATAATATCAGCAAAAATTATATGTGAGGATTACACTCGTGAATGATGATCGTCTTCTCCAAAGTCCCCACCCTTGATCATCTTCTCCAAACCACCCCCTCCCCAACTCCGATCGTCTTCTCTAAATTGCCCCCCCAGCCCACAACCCCCAATCGCCTTCTCCAAATACACTTTATCTGAACCCCCAATCACCTTCTCCAAACCCCCCCAAACAAACAAATCCCCGTTCTCACGCAACTATCAACTATCAACGGGTTTGTCGTACTCACTATGCCTTGTAAGCAAAAAGTGTTAAAATGACACAGTTAGATTCTACCTGAGGTGTTTACAATGAACATGCCTCGGTTAAGGTGTCTAAGTGAAATATTATGCAAACTTTAGGGAGCCACCAATAAGTAAGGTTGAACCTCTGTTGAAATAATAATAACACAATATTTTCCGACCCTCCTAAAAATGAAGCAACCTGCATATGGTGCGAACATTGTTGATGACTTGAAACCATTTCATACTACATCGTAGAATGGTTTTCGATGATTTTTTTTTCAGTACCAAAAACCAAAATAGAGGCTCAGATGTATGGTGCGAACATTGGTGATGACTTGAAACCATTTCATACTACATCGTAGAATGGTTTTCGATGATTTTTTTTTCAGTACCAAAAAATAAAATAGAGGCTCAGATGTATGGTGCGAACATTGTTGATGACTTGAAACCATTTCATACTACATCGTAGAATGGTTTTCGATGATTTTTTTTCAGTACCAAAAAATAAAATAGAGGCTCAGATGTATGGTGCGAACATTGTTGATGACTTGAAACCATTTCATGCTACATCGTAGAATGGTTTTCGATGATTTTTTTTTCGGTACCAAAAAACAAAATAGAGGCTCAGATGTGCTTTTTTGTCGTCATATATCAGAGAGATGGTGAAGACCCAAGTTTTCACATTTGCACAATTATCTTCATGGCACTCCCTCCCAGCAATGCACCAGCCGGGAATCGAACCCGGGTCTGTACCGTGGCAGGGTACTATTCTACCACTAGACCACTGGTGCTTGATATTATAAATATCCAACGTTGAATATACAATCAACACTGGCTGAGTCAACTAGTGCTTCTATGAATGATGATCCATATATGGAATTAACACTGGCTGATTCAACTAGTGCTTCTATGAATGATGATCCATATATGGAATTAACACTGGCTTATTCCAAAAAACTCAATGATGACATAATTATTTATATTTATAAAAATTTCACGTTTTATGTAACAAATTAAATATAAAGAGCTCGCAAAATTTCACATATATTATTTCAATGACATAGACGAAGTATTGACTCACACTATGAAAATCTAAAAATGCCAAACAAAAATCAAATGTGATTTCAGTAAGATTTTTATGTTATCATTTATTGCAACATACATTTTATTTTATAAACTAAAAATTTCAAAAAGATTTAAATTATCACAGTTCAAATTTTTTCCGTACACATCCAAATGTTTTAGATAATAGAACAAAGAATAAGAGAAACCCATAGCCGAGTACTTTATGAAATTTGGACGAACGAGTGGAGCTAGTAAGATCTAGTTGGAAGAGGAAAAAATTACTCCCCGGCTGAATTACAACACTTTTGAAATTTATATCCTAAAATAAATCTTAAATATTTGTGTGACTATAAATTATTTCATTAAGGTAAAATAATAATTTATAGTATAAAATAAATCTTGAATATTTGTGCGACTATAAATTATTTCGTTAAGATAAAAATAATAATTTAAAACTTAGTTATTTTTAATAATAATAAATAATATTTTTGAAAATAGACTAAAACGAAAAATGTGTCACATAAATTCATGCTTAAAATAGAAAAGGAAGAAAAAGAAAATCAATAAAAATTACAACAAAAATGTTAGCAAATTTACGCCTATATAACATACAAATGTAAAAGGGGATACTATGTACATTATTTATGGGGCTACTAATACAGAAATGAGCAGTAAAATTTTAAATAAAAGATGTGCCCATTAGAATCGAATACGCAACGTTAAAGTTCAAAAGCATGACTTTTCACCACTGGCACTAGGCACTTGTTGTTGGGGTCGCAAGTTTAATATTTATTATATATTATATATACACACATAAATATACGAAGTTTCAACCAAGTTCGCTGATTGGCGTGGCACCCCCTCCCTATCACATAGATTCTCCCCGGTAACAATCGGCGCTCCAACAATTTTTACACATTTTACAAATGTGGATTTAGAGTTGTCACCTTCAAGGACATTTGCACAAGTGGAGGAAGGTTTGGTTTGTCTTACATATTGCCCTGTAGATGAAATTGTTATATTTGGAAAGTTGGCATAGGGATATTTCCTTCTTGGATATGATCTTGTGGACAATAGTCTTTTTGCCTATAGATTGCACTAGGTACTAATGTTGTTACAAGTACTTCAAATTTTATTGATCAATTCTTGATATCTTAGGAATTCTTTCTATTAAATGCTTACTAATGGAGATCTTGTAGCGATCCTTTTCGAGAGATATCACAATTTGACAAGAAATCTATTTTAATACTTGTGACATTTAAAAGAGATTAACAAATGACAACAAAATTTTAATCTAGTTGATGTGTTAGGTTCATAACGAATAATTTGGTTAAGGATGTGTATCTTGCCCACTTTAAAAATTTAATTGAAGTCAAAATATGTTTGGCACGAAATAACAATAATATTACCAACTTCCATGTAGCAAATATCAACATGTTCATGCCTCACTACACTTACAAAAGATATAGTAAATTATTATATATCAAGACTTGAGTTTATACTCCCCAAAAAGATTAAAAACGTATAGCCATACTTATATTACAACTCATGGTGACATGACCAAATCAACCCTCAAAATCTCATGTAAATATACAATCATAAATCGTGCACAAGTCTCAAGGTTCATACAAAATATACATATGTCTATATGCAAATAATGTTCCTTAAGGCTCTCAAAATCTCCATCTCGAATGGCCAACTTCATGCATCATCTCGAATGTTCCCTACGATCAAAAAACTATTGCTAAGCATATAGCTTAGTGGCGCAAAAACTAAGATCCAGAGCCCATAGACTCACCAAGTTATCATTCTCAAGTCAAGGGCAGCAAAATTGAAATATAATAAGCAAATCAAGTAAACAATATACAAATAGTATCAAGTTGGATAATTAAAGCTTCAAACGTCAATAACGCTCGTAGCATCATTTTCCAAGATATTCAATAATATGAATCGCCCAATATATACATCATGTCGTCAGACCAAGCACGAGCATAATCAAGAAGGGCCAAAGCCCAATAATCAGGAGAACCAAGAACCATATTAAAAATGCTTTCTTGTTCGTACTTAAAATGGACAACTCTCATACTTAAGATGATAAAAATCCAGAGTCAAGATAGAAAATGACCCGAATCAAGAGACATTTCAATATTGACAAATTCACAGCCATAAGAAGGACAAAGTCCTAGCAAGAATATCAAATGATCAAACAATCCGCATAAGTGGGCGAGTTACACAAGAGTCCTTAACATCACAAATGACAACAACGCGACAATGCAAAGTGATAAGAGGTAACCAAAGTACCAAGATAATATTTCAGATATACCATCAGATAAAAATAGCACAATTAGATATTTATACAAAAATCTCAACGCTTTAGCAAAGAAACAGTCCAACACGACTTCAAGAGTTCAAACCGTTGACCAACCAATGTATGAAGGTCCTCAACTTGTTCACAAGTATATATAACCTTAAAAATACAATTAAATAACTTATTTAATTCCTAGTATCTCAATAATGTCGAAGTAAAACAGTATTATCATCATAAGTAAGCCTAGCCTGTACAAATATGACTAAGCTCCCAAAACAGTGAATCTGTCCAACAAAAGTACTTCAGGTCGCAAATTAGTTTTGAAACATGAAACAACAAAACAGGACTTTATATCCTCATAAAAGATGTAGGTACATCTATTAATCTTGAAAATAATCAAGAATCACCTCAAAATACGTTTTGTACAAAAAGATATAATCAAAACACTAACAGTTGAACGAACATGATTTCTAATTCTAGAAGTTGGACAGAACTTGTCCCATGTTGCGTCCCATATTTCGAATTCATAAAAGCAAAATTAGAGTTTTTCATAAGCATAAGAGTTGCAGAATTACGAATTAGATTTCCAAATCATATTTATTTATGTCAAACTAAGTTCTATCGAAAGAGATATGCACAAAATACCAAACATTACCCAGTTCAGAAGCAAATTTCGTCACTTATCAAAAATGAAGTGTTTATGTGTTGGATTCAAGCCAAAAGGACCTTTTATTTGATGTTGAATAATCAACTGTTTAGATAATGTTATAATGTTCTTAGACTTGAGGGAAACAAATTCAATCAAAAGGGAGTATAAAAATATATAGCTAGAAATGTGATCCTCATCACATGTACACATGTCCTTCATAGGTGCTGCCCAAATAAAAGTAGGTTGCCCAAAAAACATACTATATAACTATATGTATATACCTGATTCCAGAACTTCTAATTCATATGTAATTCTAATTATTCAATTTACATAATTACCCCTATACAATACTTTAAACTACGATAACAATTTATGTTAAGCACATTTTCAATTATCATAAAATTTCAAATTCCCAAAATAAGAATAAAACACATTATAGTAATTAAGAAATGATGTATTGACATAAAATTCTTGTTCTAGCATATTAGAGTGTTACAGATCTCATCTTTTTATTATGTTGAAAATGTAAGGAAAATGAAATCAAGAAGTTACAATTACAAAGTCCTAACATATTCTTGATCTAGTTCCCCAACTTTTTTTTCCGTATATTGATCTTTGTTTCTTTTATTTTTTGTTTGTATTATCGAGACACATGAAGAGTTAGTCATATTGTGTGATTCAAATTTAAAAGACTTGATAAGAGAGTTTTAGTGAATAACAAACAGTCACAACATTTATAACATAAAAGAATGACAGATAACAAAATCGAATAAGACATAGATGCCAGAATTGTCAAACTACTTTTGATATGAAAAAAAGATTTTGAATAGTGATAAACTTGAAGTGGATATCAACAAGAATGATGCCTCTCTACTTTTGTTTAAGAAGAAAAGTCATGGATATTGACAGTCTTGTGGGGATATCAACAAGATCTTACACAATTATGTATTAATTTTGTTTTCCTTCTATTTTTAAAGATTAAAGTCGTAATGATATGTGTATTGTATTATTTCTTTCTTTCTTTCTTTTCTGTCTTTATAATGTCTCTTAAGTTTAATTTTGTACCAACTTTTGATTGGTGTAAGTTTATAATTTCTTTTAGTTCAAACTAATATTTTAAAATGGTAGAGTATCTCCTAAAGAGATACCACTTTCTCACGAATTTATCTTCATTATGGTAAAGTTCTGTTGAAGAATAAATCAAATTTAAATTTATAATTATTATCTCTTTGTTCAAATTAGTAACTTAGTTATGTTGAGAAATCTGCTAATTACTAATCAAATTTTAATATTTATAATTGATTGCTTAAAAGATATAAATCTTAATGATTAATATATATTCTTTATTGGTGTTTGTTGTAACATCTCGTATCTAGAATTAACTAAGTTTATCTAAGAAAAACAAGAATAATCAAATTTAGAAATAATGAAGGAAATCTGGAAAAAAATTCAGATTTCAAAAGTGAGTTTTTGGTCATTTTCAAACGACCATAACTTTCAGCTCAGGAAGAGTTTGAGTGAGTTATTTATACGGATGGAAATCTCGTCAGAAGATCTTTCCAAAGACGCCACATTTGTTAAATTGTGAGGTCTTATGAGGGAGATATGACTTCTGGAAGTTGGATTATTGGGAAGAGGAAATCCCAAATCCGAATTTATTAAGGGTGTTTTGGTCTTTTCCTAAA